GTGGTTCAGAAGACTGAACTAAAGAATTAATTTTTTTTTTTTTTTTTTAAAGAACCAATTCTTGAAGGTAAATAAAATTTGGAGGGATGGGGTGGTACTGGAACCGGGCAGATCCTCCCCCAAATTACAGCACCACCTCACTGCAAATCAGTGACTCCAATTCTTATTCTTGAGGTGTGTAAAGTCTAATGAACTAGAATTGAAGAAATCATTAGGAATTGGAAGCAAAGGGGCGCCTGAGTGGCTCAGTGGGTTAAGCCTCTGCCTTCAGCTCCGGCCATGATCTCAGGGTCCTGGGATGGAGGCCCGCATCGGGCTCTCTGCTCAGCGGGGAGCCTGCTTCCTCCTCTCTCTGCCTGCCTCTCTGCCTACTTGTGACCTCTGTCTGTCAAGTAAATAAATAAAAAAATCTTAAAAAAAAAAAAAAAAGGAATTGGAAGCAAAATTCCCTAAAGCCATTCCTAGGCCAACATCACGTGGGGCTCACTGAAGTAGAGGAGGAGAACCTTACAGGTTGTGACATACATGGAAGATGAACATGAATTCTCAGCTAAGGGTGATGTCATACCAAAGACATTAGGGGGTGTATGAGTGAATGTAAGGTGAGCTCTTGATTTGAAATTACTTAATTGAAACAAATCAATGTACAGTCAAACCTAGGGGAGAGGGTAAACAGGAAAAAATTCTATACAAGAGCAGGTGTATTGTGAGTTCCTTCACCTTGTTAAACTAAGAAGTATGTACTCAAACTCACACGGTAAACAAGTCACTACTTTGGGTTCAACTGGCCCATGAAAGTCTGACCACAGACCATAGAAATGTATAATTCTGTATTTAACCTAGTTACAAACTGACTATGTGCTGTGCAAACTAAAAAATAACCATCTCCACTACATATCTATCAGCATGGCTAAAATAAAAAATAGTGACAACACCAATTACTGATGGTAAGTAGACACCAGATCACTCAAACATTGCTGCTGGGAATGTATAAAGGTACAGCCACTTTGGAAAACAGTTTAGCAATTTTTTACCAAACTAAACATGCGCTTATCATATGTATGACACAGCAACTGGACTCTTGCGCATTTATCCCACAGAAACAAAAACAGGTTCACACAAAAAGCAATACACTGATATTCATAGCGGCTTTACTCCAGATAGCTGAGGACTAGAACAACTGAGTTATCCTTCAATGGGTGAATGTTCAACCTATTGTGGTACATCCATACCATGAAATACTACTCAGCAATAATGAATAAACCTTTGATACATACAACAATTTGGATGGATTTCAAGGGATTATGCTGAGTAAAAAAAAGCTAATTCCGAAAAAGTGATATACTTTATAATTCTGTTTCTAGGACATTTTTGAAATGACAAAATTTTAGAAAGGGAGAACAGATTGGGAGGGGGTGCCCTGAAGAAGAGAAGTATAGTTATAAAAGGGCACCGGGAGGAATCCCTTGTGGTGATGGAAGCGTGTTGTAGCTTGACTGTGGTGGCAACACAACAATCTACACATGTGGTAAAAATTACATAGAACCAGGGCAGCTGGGTGGCTCAGTCGGTTGTGTCTGCCTTCTGCTCAGGTCATGATCCCAGAGTCCCGGGATCCCATCAGACTCCCTGCTCAGCGGGGAGCTTGCTTCTCCCTCTACCTCTGCCTGTCACTCCCCCTGCTTTTGCTCTGTCACCAAATAAAAAAAAATAAATAAAATCTTAAAAAAAAACCACACAAAAAAATACATAGAACCAAATACACACACATAAAACTGCAGAAATAATATCACCGGGATGTGTCAATGTCAGTTTCCCGGTTATGATACTGTACTATATTTTTGCAAGATGTTAGCATTGGGGGAGAATGGGTAAAGGGTATACAGGATCTCTAGTGTTCCTTACAGCTGTATGGGACTCTACAATGATCTCAAAACAAAAAGTTGAATTTAACAAATAACCATCTCTTATTTTCTTCCCATTTGTGAAGAGAAAAGCAAGTTACATTCTACATTGTTCTCACAAATAAAATGGTCAACTGTCCCAGAAGTAAAATCATTTAAACATAATAAAAGCAGTAATTTATTCAGTTGACCCTTGAGCAACCATCCCCCCCCAGCTGCTGAAATCTGCATAGAAGTTCTGACCTTTCAAATTTAACTAACAGACTCCTGTTTGATTAGAAGCCTAGCAACATAGCTAACACATAGTTTGCATGTTGTATGTATTATATACTGTATTTTTAAAAAAGATTTATGCATTTGAAACAGAGCGAGGTTAGCACCAGCCAGATGAAGAAGAGGGAGAGAGAAGGGGAGAATGGAGCTCTCCGCTGAGCAGGGAGTCCAATGTGGGGCTCATCCCAGGTCCCTGGGATCATGACCTGAGCTGAAGGCAGATGCTTACCCAACCAAGCCACTCAGGCGCCCCTATATACTGTATTTTTATAATAAGGTAAACTAGAGGGAGGCCTGGGTGGCTCAGTGGATTAAAGCCTCTGTCTTCCACCCAGTCATGATCCCAGGGTCTTGGCATGGAGCCCGGCATCGGGCTCTCTGCTCAGTGGGGAGCTTGCTTCCTCCTCTATCTCTCTCTCTGCCTGCCTCTCTGCCTACTTGTAATCTCTGTCAATTTAAAAAAAATAATAATAATAAGGTAAACTAGAGAAAATAAAATGTTAAGAAAACCTCAAGGAGGGGCGCCTGGGTGGCTCAGTGGGTTAAAGCCTCTGCCTTCGGCTCAGGTCATGATCCCGGGGTCCTGGAATCGAGCCTGGCATCAGGCTCTCTGCTCAGCGGGGAGCCTGCTTCCTCCTCTCTCTCTCTCTGCCTGCCTCTCTGCCTACTTGTAATCTCTGCCTGTCAAATAAATAAATAAAATCTTAAAAAAAAAAAAGAAAGAAAACCCTAAGGAAAATACATTTACAGTACTGTACCGGGATTTATTGAAAAAGATCTGCCTGTAAATGGACCAGAATAGTTCAAACCCATGCTCTTCAAGGGTCAACTGTACTTCCCTGTGCTAAACACCCACGAGCCTTTTCTCGTACACCACACAAGAGCCCTCTGAGAGGGACACCGCTTGTACTTCTGGTCCACAGAGGAGGATCTGAGGCAAAGAGGTGAAATGACTTCCCCAAGCCACCAGACTAATACCTGGAACCAAATTCAGACAAAATTCTTGCAGCAATACAGTTTTTAACATTCTACTTTTGTTCTGTTCAGTTGTTCTGACCCTAAAAACTAAAAACTGCCATCAAGCACGGAGGACAGGTGTGGAACTGCCATGGGAACAGTGAATGAAACTTAATGATCAGATGGTCACTTGGGGATGACACAGCCCACCTCCCTCACCTTACAGATGAGGAAACGGGGTGAAGAGACCGGTACAAGTGAGTCGCTGTACCCAGCCCCGCGCAGCATATTTAAAACCATATCTCGACCCAGTATTTAAGGAGACAGACTGCTAAATAATAGCAGAGAGGACACCGCCGGGAGCCCCGCAAAAAGGCCAGAAGACTACAGGCTGCCAGGCGTTGCCGTGACCAAGAGCCTCCGTCCGGAGCCAGGGCCAGGCTGGACAGCCAGCACTCCTCCATGGGCACTTGGGTCTGGCAGGGGTCAGGATGGAGACCTGCGGTGGCCAGCAGCGGGCGGGGACCGGGCCTAGCGGGAAGCAGGGAGGCCGCTGGACTCGCCCATAGGAGAGTTTTCAACCCCCCTGTCACGCCCCGACTTTGTCCCAAAGTCCAGAGGACGCTGAGCGGTGAACACCGAGGACGCACGACTCGACAGGCCAGCTTTTCAGTCGACCCAGCCGTGGGAGAAGGAAAAGGGCAGAGCGTAACTACCACCCTAGACCCGCCTCGCTCAAGGCCTAGCTCATCTACTCACAGCTCCGGAGGAAGGGAGGGAGCGAGCCAGCGTGCCGCACGTCTACGGCGCCGCTGGCCTGCCCTTCGCCCTCCGCCGCGCGCGTCCATTGGCCACTGGCACCGCCCTCACGTGGGGCGTCGGTGAGCGCCTCATTGGCCCCTGAGTGGGGGGCGGGGCTAGACAGCGCGGGGAGCCGCGGGGCGTCGGGCTGCAGTGGGCAGAACTGGAGGCTGAGGGAGGGCAGGAGAGGGGGCGCAGGCGATGGTGCTAGTGCTGCGTTACCTGAGCGGTGCCTGCGGCCGGGTCCGCGGGAGTCTCCCCGGGGGCTTCGCTGCGGCGTGCCGGCCGGCGCCGGGGAGGCCCTGGCCGCTGTGCCAAGGTGGCCGTAGAGCCAGCACCCGGTGAGTAGCCGCTGGCCTGCCCTCGTCGCTTGTGCTACTACTGCTTTCTGAGGTGCCTCTTGCTGGACCTGTGCCGCTGCTCTACTTCCCTGTCCCGGGCGTGAGAGAAGGTCAAGATCCTGTGGATCCCAGGCGTTCCCTTGTAGGATTCATTCGTTGTGTTGCGTGCCGGATGCAGAGCAAGGCAGCGATGAGTAGAGAGGTCTAGAGCAGTTCTGGTTTTGAATAGCACCCCTCCACTTCTTATTCAGTCCTTGGGTGGGTTACTATAGCTCCTTAAAGGCTCACTTGTGAGTAGGATCCTAGTCTTGCCCGTAGGTGGTCGTTTTGAGGCTTAAAGGACCACCACACGAAGCAATCAAATAAACTTGTTTATTTGCTGGCATCCCTGGTGTTGCTTGGAAGACCGGGACCAGTTCTTAAATCAGTCGGTTCCTGGCAAACACTGCATAGAGTTGCCCCTGTGAGAAGCAGCTCAGTTGCTAATCAAAGCTTGCACAAGTGAGTGTCCTGTGATTTGAAGTTTGGAGGTCACATTAAAAACCACCGTCTTTCTCTGCTTTCTGGAGAGGGCGTGGCTTATGCTAAGGCTTTAAAGCTGGAAAGCTCTTGGCTATTTCCAGAACTAGAAGATGGGTAAGATGAGTGGGACTGTTCTTCGTAGAACAGAGATGGTGTGGAATGACACTAGAGAGAGGCTACATCACAGCAGGGTTTTTTATTTTATTTTACCCACATGGAATTTTATTCTAAGAGCATGGGGAGACTTTTAAAGGATTTTTTAGAAGAGGGAGTGATTAAATGTTGAGGTTTCAAAAGTTGACTGGCTGCTGTTTGTTAGTGGTTTGGAGGGAGGATAGAGTGGGATAGGACTTGTGAGTCATGGTGGGTGAGCGTAGACAATTATTTTGGGATTGCTTTTCTTAAGGGAGGAAAAGTAGGGTTAGTGAAGGTTTTGTTTATACTTTTTATTTTGAAATAATTATAGGTCCATGGGAAGTTGCAAAAAAAAACCCACAAGAAGCAAACCCCAAACCAGTGTTTGTATACCCTTCAGCCAATTTACCCCAATGATAGCATCTTACCTAACTACAGTATAGTATCAAAACTAGGAAATTGAGATTGGCACAATCCACAGACCTTGTTCAGATTTCATCAGCTTTTATATGCATTCATTTGTGTGTGTCTATTCAATTTAATCGTGTTAATTTGTGTAACTGCCACCATAAAATACAGAAATGTTTCATTACCACAGAGACATCTCTTGTGTTACCAGTCTCTTTATTTATTTATTTATTTTCAAAGATTTTATTTATTTGACAGACAGAGATCACAAGTAGGCAGAGAGGGAGGCAGAGAGAGAGAGAGCAGGAAGTAGGCTCCCTGTGAGCAGAGAGCCCAATGTGGGGCTGGGTCCCAGGACCCAGGACCCTGAGCTGAAGACAGAGGCTTTAACCCACTGAGCCACCCAGGCACCCCTACCCAGTCCCTTTATATTCACATCCCGTCTTCTCCACTCTTCCTAACTTGGCAATCACTAATCTATTCTCTAGCTCTAAAATTTTGTCATTTTGAGAATGTTCTATAAGTGGAGTCACATAGTATATAACCTTTTGAGATTGGCTTTTTTCGCACAGCATGATGTCTTTGAGATTCATCCAAGGTGTTCCCTATAATGAAAGTGGGTTCATTTTCACTGTTGAGTAGTGTTCCATGGTACGGATGTAATACAGTTTGACCATTTACCAGTTGAAGGATATCTGGACTATTTATAATTTTGGACTATTATTATTAAAGCTGCTGTGAACATTTAAGTACAGGTTTTTATACAAACATAGGTTTTTATTTTTCTGAGATAAATGCCCAAGAGTGTAGTTGCTAAGACATGTTTAGTTAGTACATGCTTGATTTTTTTTCATTGTGGGGATGGTTTTTATTTTATTTATTTTTAACCAACTGAGCCACCCAGGCGTCCCTTATTTATTTTTAAATATATTATTTATTTATTTATTTATTTGAGAGAGCACAAGGGCGGGGGGAAGTGCAGAAGGAGAAGCAGACTCTGCTGAGCAGGGAGCCCAGCGCAGGGCTCCATCCCAGGATCCAGGGATCATGACCTGAGCCGAAGTCATATACCTAACCAACTGAGCCACCCAGGCGCCCCTGTAGACATGTTTTTTAATGTAGAGCCATAAAAGGAATATCAATTTTGAAATATTGAGTATTGATTTATAAAAGAAAAGTACACCAGTGCTTCCCAAGGAAGTATAAAACATGAAGTCATGCACCTGGGATTCAGGTTCTGAATATTAGAATTTCCCTTATAGAAAGACTTGAGATGAGTAGAGTCCATATTTGGGACTCAAAAAGAGACCATTATATCCTTTAATATCTTCAGCAATCCAAAGAATGGCCTGAGGAAGAGTGGGAGACCAGTGATGTGGCCCAAATTGGGTAAAATATAAGCCCAAAGATTTGTTTTTCCTATATACAAGTGACAACAGAACAAAGGAAGTTGTGCCACCATCAAGGCTGACAGCAATTATCTGACTGGAGTGGAGTGTGTTACACAATGGCAGATTTATGTTTAGTTTTTTAAGAAACTGCTATACTCTTTTTCCAGGGTGGCTGTACTATTTTACATTCCTCCCAGAGGTGTGTGAGTGGTCCAGTTCCTCCTCATTCTCACCAGCATTTGGTGCTACCATTTTTTTTTTTTTTTAATTTTAGCCATTCTGATAGGGGTGTAGGGATATCTCACTGTAGTTTTTTTTTGTTTTTTTTTTTTTGACAGAGATCACAAGTAGGCAGAGAGGCAGACAGAGAGAGAGGGGGAAGCAGGCTCCCCGCTGAGCAGAGAGCCCGATGCGGGGCTCGATCCCAGGACTCTGGGATCATGACCTGAGCTGAAGGCAGAGGCTTTAACCCACTGAGCCACCCAGGTGCCCCTCACTGTAGTTTTAATTCGCTTTTCCCTAATGACTAATGGTAGTGAACATCTTTTGATGTGCTAATTTGCCATTTATATATCTTTCCTCTTTGATGAACTGTTTTGTTCATATCTTTTGCCCATTTAAAAAAAATTTTATTTTTTTCAATGTTCCAAAATTCATTGTTTATGCAGCACACCCAGTGCTCCATGCAATACGTGCCCTCCTTAATATCCACCACTGGGCTCAGCCAACCCCCCCACCCACTCCCCTCCAAAACCCTCAGTATATTTCTCAGAGTCCACAGTGTCTCATGGTTTATCTGCCCCTCCGATTTCCTCCAACTCCCTTCTCCTCTCCTTCTTCCAGTGTCCTCCGTGTTAACTAAATGGTTTATATGAGAGTTCTTTATATAGTCTAGATGTGAATCCTTTGTCAGATATGTGGTTTGCAATTATTTTCTCCCCGTTTGTTAGTTGTCTTCTTATCCTCTTAACAAGATCTTTTGCAGAACAAAATTTTTAATTTTGATGAAGTGCATTTTATCAAATTTTTTTATATGGAGCATGTTTTTGGTGTCTTCTACTTCACTTAGTGCTGGGTCCCAAAGGTTTTCTCCTAAAAGTTATATGGTCCATATTTGATGATATAAAATGTTTATTGTAATTTTTTAAAAATTAGAATACTGGTGGTTCCTCGCTGGCTCAGCTGGTAGAGCATGTGACTCTTAATCTCAGAGTTGTGAGTTCAAGATCCACTCTGAGCATGGAGCCAGTTAAAATTAAAAGACAAGAACAACAACAACAAAAAATAATTTAAAAAATCAGAATGATGGTATCGTGGGCATGTTTTATAGAGGCCTTTTAGAAACAACATAATAAAATATTTACAGATAATGTTTAGGATTTGCATCAAAATAATTTAATTTAGGAAGAGCTGAAATAGGTGGGATGTAGGAAAGGCAAGATTGGCCCTGTTCCTGTCAGACCAGATTTTTGGGCCCATGAGGTAGGTGCTAAAGGTAGACATTTCTGCTCCTCATTGCTGAATTAGATAGACTATACATGCCCTTCCTAATTTTTTTTCTTTTAAAGATTTTATTAGAAAGCCTGCACTCACAAGCAGCTGGAGGAGTACAAGAGGGGGAAGGAGAGAGAATCCTCAAGCAGACTCTCTGCTAAGCATGGGGCTCAATCCCTGGACCCTGAGATCACAACCTGAGCTGAAACCAAGAGTCAGCTGCTTAACAGACTGAGCCACCCAGGTGCCCCTGCACTTGAATTTCAAATGAGTAAATGGTAGAGCAGAGTTTGATGCCTAACAGAGTAATGGATCCTAGGACTCTGGGATCATGACCTGAGTCATGAAGGCAGTGGCTTAGCCAACCGAGCCACCCAGGTGCCCCAATGCCTCTAATTCTTAAAGGCTTTTTCTCTTAAGAAGCCAATAGTGTAAGGCCCAAGAAATATTTGATTTTCATGATTACAAATTCATAGTTTAATTGTTCACTGATGATGAAAATTATACACATGAAGTTTTATAAGATCTACTATAAACATGCATTACTTTAAAGGTGACTTTCTCTTAAAGCTCATTTGATGTGGTCATTATCGGTGGCGGAATTGTGGGCCTTGCCTCTGCCAGAGCACTCATCCTGCGACATCCAGCATTTTCCATTGGTGTTCTGGAAAAGGAGAAAGATTTAGGTATGTATGATATCGTTGTGGCTCTTTGGGCTTAATCTGCTCATTTTTTCAGTCCTGCATCTTTCATGTTGAATGTTGATGTTAGTATCCTAATTAGGGTTCTCCGTAAAGCAGAGCCTGGGACTAGAACTTGAGCATAGGTGATTTATTTGAGAGGCTGTTTAGGAGGCAGGACTGAGGGGGTGTGGAGAGTAAACTGGGAAGGAGGAAAAGCCACAGGAGG